GAGTCAATCACCTGATCTCAACCCAATTGAGCATGCATTTCACTTGCTGAAGGGAAAACTAAAAGGCAAAAAGACCCACAAAGAACAACTGAAGACAGCTGCAGGTAGAGCATTGTAAAGCATCAGAAAGGAGGAAACCCAGTCTTTGGTAATGTCCATGGGTTCCAGACTTCAGGCAGTCATTGCCAGTAAAGGATTCTCAACAAAATATTACAAATGAACATTTTATTTATGATTATATTCATTTGTCCAATTACTTTTGGTCCCTTGAAAAAGGGGGGATGGCTACTCTTAAGAGCTGTAATTCCTAAACCATTCCTCCAATTAGGATGTACATACCTTCAAATTAAACCTGAGAGTGCACTTTCAGCCCATATCCATTATATGACTATAACTTGAATATGTTTTGGTAAATACCTGAAAAAATCTAAAATTGTGCCCTTGTCCAAATATATATGGACCTAACTGTACCTGTCCCTCAGTCCCGTGGTGTGTCCCCCGCAGCTCGTTTCACCAGCCGTTCTGTATTCCAGGAGGCCGGCATCTTCAGTGTGGGCACCCGGCTGTGATATCTTGCGGCTACACAGCCGGGTACCCACAGCGCATGCGCGAGTAGCGCTGCGCTTCGTGAATGGTTCTGTAATCTTCTGGGACCTGTCACGTGTACCAAAAGACTACAGGGAGGGAGGACACCTTCCGCTTCCGATCGCCTAGGCAATCAGACCGGACGTGGGAGCGGGTATCTATCAAAGGTGTCAATCCTTAATGGGGAGCAGTCCTTAAAGTGGAACTTCTCCTTTTGGGTGGAACTTACCGTATTTTTTGCTCCATAAAACGCACCTGACCATAAGACGCGCCTAGGTTTTAGAGGAGGAAAACAATAAAAAAAATATTCTGAACCAATGGACTGCAGACACAGCGCAGGGGATGACCAGAGACTGCGGACACAGCGCAGACCGTGCAGGGGATGACCAGGGACTGCAGACCGTGCAGGGGATGACCAGGAACTGCAGACCGTGCAGGGGATGACCAGGAACTGCAGACCGTGCAGGGGATGACCAGGGACTGCAGACCGTGCAGGGGATGACCAGGGACTGCAGACCGTGCAGGGGATGACCAGGGACTGCAGACCGTGCAGGGGATGACCAGGGACTGCAGACCGTGCAGGGGATGACCAGGGACTGCAGACCGTGCAGGGGATGACCAGGGACTGCAGACCGTGCAGGGGATGACCAGGGACTGCAGACCGTGCAGGGGATGACCAGGGACTGCAGACCGTGCAGGGGATGACCAGGGACTGCAGACCGTGCAGGGGATGACCAGGGACTGCAGACCGTGCAGGGGATGACCAGGGACTGCGGACCTTTGGGGAGGGAGGGGGAACGGGTACCTGAATTTGACAGGTACCCGCTCCCACTTCCGCGGAGTTGTCCTTCCTTCTTCCTCCCGCGGCGGCTTCTGTGACAGCCGGGTGCCCACTGCGCATGAGCGAGAAGCGCTGAGCTTTGTGAATGGCCCGGAGCCTTCTGGGACCTGTCATGTGTCCCAGAAGACACTGGACCATTCACAAAGCGCAGCACTTCTCGTGCATGCGCAGTGGGCACCCGGCGGTCACAGAAGCCGCCGCGGGAAGACTGCAGCACTGGAGCGAGGAACAGGTAAGGTCCTGCAGGAGAGAAGAGCTGAGCAGCCGGCCTGATATTCTGACTTGGTGGCGGCAGAAATACCGGACCGGCCGCTTTACATTCGCTCCATAAGACGCACTGACATTTTCCCCCTTTTTTGGGGGAAAAAAGTGCGTCCTATGGAGTGAAAAAAACGATAGCTTTAAAGAGTATGTTACCTCAACATTTCATCGAGTAGAGATCGCGGAGCGAGTAGAGAGCGCGGTGCAATGTGTGTAGAGAGCATGGAGAATAGAGAGCACAGAGTAGAGAGCGCGGTGCACTGTGTGTAGAAAGCATGGAGAATGGAGAATAGAGAGCGCGGAGTGTAAATAGAGAGCATGGAGTGTAAATAGAGAGCGCGGAGCGTAAATAGAGAGCGAGAGCGTAGAGAGAACGGAGCGAGTAGAGAGCGCAGAGTGTAAATAGAGAGCGAGAGCGCGGAGCGTAGAGAGAACGGAGTGAGTAGAGAGCGCAGAGTGTAAATAGAGAGCGCAGAGTGTAAATAGAGAGCGAGATTGCGGAGTGTAAAGAGAGAGCGTGGAGTGTAAATAGAGAGCGCGGAGCGTAAATAGAGAGCGCGGAGCGTAAATAGAGAGCGCGGAGCGTAGAGAGAACGGAGTGTAAATAGAGAGCGCAGAGTGTAAATAAAGAGCGAGATTGCGGAGCGTAAAGAGAGAGCGCGGAGCGTAAAGAGAGAGCGCGGAGCGTAAAGAGAGCGCGGAGCGTAAAGAGAGCGCGGAGCGTAAAGAGAGCGCGGAGCGTAAAGAGAGCGCGGAGCGTAAAAGAGAGCGCGGAGCGTAAAGAGAGCGCGGAGCGTAAAGAGAGCGCGGAGCGTAAAGAGAGAGCGCGGCGCGTAAATAGAGTGCGGAGCGTAAATAGAGAGCGCTGAGCGAGTAGAGAGCATGGAGTGTAAATAGAGAGTGCGGAGCGCTGAGTGTAGAGGGTGTGGAGTGTAAATAGAGAGCGCGGAGCGAGTAGAGAGCGGAGTGTAAATAGAGAGCGCGGAGCGTAAATAGAAAGCGCGGAGCATAAATAGAGACGGCGGAGCGAGTAGAGAGCGCGGAGTGTAAATAGAGAGAGCGGAGCGAGTAGAGAGCGCGGAGTGTAAATAGAGAGAGCGGAGCGAGTAGAGAGAGCGGAGTGTAAATAGAGAGCGCGGAGTGTAAATAGAGAGCGAGAGCACGAAGCGTAGAGAGTGCGGAGCGAGTAGAGAGCGCGAGGAGTATAAATAGCGCAAAATGCAAATAGAGAGCGAGAGCGCGGAGCATAAATAGAGTGCGAAGCGAATAGAGAGCGCAGAGCATAAATAGAGCGCGGGCAGTGCAAATAGAGCGCAAAGCGTAAATAGAGAGCGTGCAGTGTAAATCGAGTGCGGAGTGTAAATAGAGAGCGTGCAGTGTAAATCGAGCGCGGAGTGTAAATAGAGAACACGGGGTATAAATAGAGAGCGCGGAGCGAGTAGAGAGCGCGGAGTGTAAACAGAGAGCAAGAGCGCAGAGTGAGTAGAGAGCACAGTGTAAATAGAGAGCGCGGAGCGTAAACAGAGAGCGTGGAGCGTAAACAGAGAGCGTGGAGCGACGTAAACAGAGCGCGGAGTGTAAATAGAGAGCGTGGAGCGACTACAGAGCGCGGAGGCTAAATAGAGAGCGTGGAGCGACTACAGAGCGCGGAGGCTAAATAGAGAGCGTGGAGCGACTAGAGAGCGCGGAGGCTAAATAGAGAGCGTGGAGCGACTAGAGAGCGCGGAGTGTAAATAGAGAGCGCGGAGCGAAACAGAGAGCGCGGAGGCTAAATAGAGAGCGTGGAGCGTAACTAGAGAGCGCGGAGTGTAAATAGAGAGCGCGGAGCGTAAATAGAGAGCGTGCAGTGTAAATCGAACGCGGAGTGTAAATAGAGAGCGCGCAGTGTAAATCGAGCGCGGAGCGTAAATAGAGCGCGGGCAGTGTAAATAGAGCGCGAAGCGTAAATAGAGAGCGTGCAGTGTAAATAGAGTGCGGAGTGTAAATAGAGAGTGTGCAGTGCAAATCGAGCGCGGAGTGTAAATAGAGAACACGGGGTATAAATAGAGAGCGTGGAGTGAGTAGAGAGCGCGGAGTGTAAACAGAGAGCAAGAGCGCAGAGTGAGTAGAGAGCACAGAATGAGTAGAGAGCACAGTGTAAATAGAGAGCGCGGAGCGTAAACAGAGAGCGCGGAGCGTAAACAGAGAGCGCGGAGCGTAAACAGAGAGCGCGGAGCGTAAACAGAGAGCGCGGAGCGTAAACAGAGAGCGCGGAGCGTAAACAGAGCGCGAAGTGTAAATAGAGAGCGTGGAGCGACTACAGAGCGCGGAGGGTAAATAGAGAGCGTGGAGCGACTACAGAGCGCGGAGTGTAAACAGAGAGCGCGGAGCGTAAATAGAGAGCGCGGAGCGTAAATAGAGAGCGCGGAGCGTAAATAGAGAGCGCGAAGTGTAAATAGAGAGCGTGCAGTGTAAATCGAGCGCGGAATGTAAATAGAGAGCGTGCAGTGTAAATAGAGAACACGGGGTATAATTAGAGAGCGCGGAGCGAGTAGAGAGCGCAAAGTGTAAACAGAGAGCAAGAGCGCAGAGTGAGTAGAGAGCGCAGAATGAGTAGAGAGCACAGTGTAAATAGAGAGCGCAGAACGTAAACAGAGAGCGCGGAGCGTAAACAGAGAGAGCGTGGAGCGTAAACAGAGAGCGTGGAGCGTAAACAGAGAGCGCCGAGTGAGTAGAGAGCGCGAAGTGTAAACAGAGAGTGCGGAGTGTAAATAGAGAGCGCGGAGTGAGTTGACAGCGCAGAGTGTAAATAGAGAGCGCGGAGTGTAGTAGAGAGCGCCGAGTGAACAGAGAGCGCGAAGTGTAAACAGAGAGCGCGGAGTGTAAACAGAGAGCGCGGAGTGTAAACAGAGAGCGCGGAGTGTAAACAGAGAGCGCGGAGTGTAAACAGAGAGCGCGGAGTGTAAACAGAGAGCGCGGAGTGTAAACAGAGAGCGCGGAGTGTAAACAGAGAGCGCGGAGTGTAAACAGAGAGCGCGGAGTGTAAACAGAGAGCGCGGAGTGTAAACAGAGAGCGCGGAGTGTAAACAGAGAGCGCGGAGTGTAAACAGAGAGCGCGGAGTGTAAACAGAGAGCGCGGAGTGAGTTGACAGCGCAGAGTGTAAATAGAGAGCATGGAGTGAGTAGAGAACGTGGAGTGTAAATAGAGAGCGTGGAGTGTAGGGGGCGTGGACACAGGTAGGTACACCGCACACCCCCCTCTCACACTCCGCCCTGTCTATCCCTGTACAGTGTATGTGATCCAGTGACAGGTCCTCTTCATTCTCAGACATACCTTCACCTCCTCCACCTTCCGGGACAGCCGATTGATCTTGGTTCCCAGGTCCTCCTTCTCCAGGCGCCCAGAACTGGCCAGCACCTCGGTCACAAACGACGCCATCCCACCCTCCCGCCACTAATCCCCCCCCCACTCCGTGCCCGGCGCTGACGGGGCCGCTTTCAAACTGGAAGAGTCAGCCTTAAGCGCGCGGCATGCCGGGATTGTAGTCCTGACTCCCGGGCTCCGCGCACACCTTCCACCAAACAGCTCAACCACGGAACTACAATTCCCGGCATGCACTGCGCACGTCCAGTGACAGCTACGGACAAGATTAGGATTCGGAAAGGATGCTGGGAGACGGAGGCGGCTGCTTGGCTGCGATAGGGCGGAGCGAGAAGGACAACTACAGGTGTGATAGGTGCAGGGTAGTGGGGGCGGAGTTTGATGGGCAGCCTGTCCTATGTACTTCCGCTCTTCTGTCCTCGCTGAGGGAATGTTTACATTACTGACCCATAGAGGAGAGGGAGGGATGGAGTCGTCCTGCAGTCTGAGAGAGAACATGTCACCCACTGACCTCTAGAGGAAGGAGGAATTATTACCCTCTGTTCCCTTATTGGGGAGAATTCACATCAAAGATCAAATAGAACTGAAAGTAGAACAATAGAAACACGTTTTTGTTTCATTTTAGATTTGGATTTCGCCATTTGTTTCCCATTGGAGAGATTTCCCTTCATTTCCTGTCCCATAGACAAACAGGAATTAAGAGGAAATCCCTGCAAATCAAGGGGATTTCTCTGGGTTTTCCCAGGTCATCGGCACAAGTGTCCCCTTCGGAAGATTTCCCCTCTGTTACTTTTCTGGGGACAACCCAAAATATGGGGATTTTCTTTTACTTTCAATAATAATAGTAAACAGGACAAACAGAGAGGGGAATCTCCCTAACGGGGACACAGACAGCAATAAAACCTGACGGGGCCTAATCCATCTCCACTCCATACAAAACTAAAAACAAAACGTAGACACAAAGGCCGAAGCTTTTTTCACTCGGGGTGTAGTGAGGGAGGGTTCTATCCAGATTTTTTTTTTCAGTTTATACTTTATACTTTAAATCTCAACTGAACCTTCGATGCAATCCGTAAGGACATCACCAATGCTCAACCTACCTCCCCACCTATCCTCCCTCCCACCATAACCCCACCGACTCTTCCCTCCTCTGACCTCGCAGCCGCCCTACCCCCCACCACACCTATCATCCCGCACACTATAACCTCCCCAACACTCTGCTCCTTCAGCCTTGATACCACTGAGGAGGTCACTAAGGTCTTCTCAGAAGCCCGCCTCACCACTTGTCCCCTTGACCCTGTCCCCACACAACTCCTCCGGGCACCCTCCTCCTCCATCCTACGCTCCCTCAGCCACATCTTCAATCTCTCCCTCTCTACTGCCGCATTCCCCTCCCCCTAAAGCATGCGCACATCACCCCCATACTCAAAAAACCCTCCCTGGACCCCACCGACCTGAACAACCTTAGACCCATCTCCCTGCTGCCATTTACTTCCAAGCTCCTTGAGCGCTTAGTCTACAATCGCCTAAGCGCCCACCTCACTGACAACCTCCTCGATCTACTACAGTCCGGCTTCCGTCCCCTACACTCCACCGAAACCGCCCTACTCAATCACTAATGACCTGCTAACCGCCAAAGCTAATGGCCACTATTCAGTCCTCTTACTCCTCGATCTCTCCACGGCCTTCAACACAGTCGACCACCCCCTCCTCCTTAACAAAGTACACTCCCTGTTGGGGTCCCCCAAGGCTCTGTCCTCGGGCCCCTTCTCTTTTCCATCTACACCTCCACCCTCAGCAAACTGATACACTCCCACGGCTTCAACTATCACCTCTATGCCGATGACCCGCAAATTTACCTCTCCACCCCTCGCCTCACCCCTTCAGTCTCTGCCCGTATCACCCACCTACTGAACAACATATCAGACTGGATGTCGCTCCATTTCCTCAAATTGAACCTTTCCAAAACCTGATTTTCCCCCCAGCCCATGTCCCCCCCTCCCCCCACCCTCTCCATCACGACCAACAACACCACCGTCAGTCCCACCCTACAAGCCAAAGTCCTATGTGTCATGCAGGCTCCACCTCCGCAACATCTCCAAAATACGTTCGTTCCTAACCCCAGACACTAATAAACAACTCGTTCACTCCCTTATTATCTCACGACTGGACTACTGCAACTCCCTTCTCACCGGCTTACATCATCGCAGACTATCCCCGCTTCAGTCTATCCTGAACTCAGCGGTCAGACTCATCCACCTTACCAACCGCTCCGCTTTTGCCACCCCTCTGTCATTCCCTCCACTGGCTCCCGATTGCCCAACGCATTAAATTCAAACTACTAACACAGACATACAAAGCCATTCATAACGCTGCCCCAAACTACCTCACCGACCTGATACCCAAATACCACCCTACCCGTAATCTTCGCTCCTCACAAGACCTCCTACTTTCTAGCTCCCTGGTCTCCACCTCCCACGCCCGACTGCAGGACTTCTCCAGGACTTCCCCCATCCTCTGGAACTCACTACCCCAATCCATCAGACTGTCACCTACCCTCCTCACCTTTAAGCACATCCTGAAAACCCATCTCTTCAGGGAAGCCTACCCCGCCCTCACCTAACAGCCGATCTCCTCCACTCCTCCTACCACTCCATCCCCCACAGCCACTTCCTCCTGTACCACTATCCCTTCCCTCCTAGATTGTAAGCTCGAAAGAGCAGGGCCCTTGAACCCTTCGTGTTTTGTTTTGTTACTGTATTGTCTCATGTACTGTTCCCCACTATAATGTACAGCGCTGAGCAAACCTTTTAGCGCTATATAAATACTGTATAATAATAATAATTTAAATAAGCTCCATTCCAGGCATATCTAAAAAAAAGTGTGTAAAGTCTTTCTTTTAGAAAACAGCCACAGCATGAGTAGAACAGTCTGTACCCTGCCAGCATGTTGCAGAGTAAGTCCTCGCTCACACCATACATGCAGAAAAGCTGATGGAAACTGATGTGCAGATTTCACTTGCAGAAACTAATGTGCAGATTTCACTTGCAGAAACTGATGGAAACTGATGTGCAGATTTCACTTGCAGAGACATCAGTTTATATCAGTTTTCATGTGCACATCTATGAGTTTTATACATGTAGCACCCTACTCGATTGCTAGGAGAAGCTAGAGCCTAATTGTTGGGACAGCTGAGTAGCAGCCTGGGTGTGATAGCTAGCAGGGTCAAATTTAGGGCAGAGCTGAGAGGCTCTGCAGACTTCTCTGAGACGTCCCCTGCGCTAGAACTTTGGAAAAAGTTCTAGAAGCAGTGGGTGGAGGGGAGGAGTGGCTAATCTGCACTTTCAAGGGATCCTGGCTAAGACCCAACAAGAGGCTTAGCAAGGGGCCAAGACAACCGTTAAGAGTGACCGAGCCTGCTCAGAAGCAGGAGAGTTCCGGTGGAAGATGGAGAAGTGAGGCTGGAGAGCAGGAGCCTGGGAGGGTGCCCAGATGGGAACGGGCTCACCTCCAGGCAAGAATGCTGGAAAAGAGCAAAACTCAGCACCTTATTGGCTCCCAGAGAGAGGACCACCTGTGTAGCAGGGAAGGAGCGGCCCAGCTAGAAGGCCTGGTAGCGGACACCAACCCATGTCTCTGTATGGAAGCAGTGGCCACTCTGCTGAGTTCTAACACACCTGCTACTGAGTCAGAGCCAGAGTTCTCCAATCAGAGGGGAGCATGGGTTTTGCTGATTGGAGAGCTCTGGCTATAACAGCAGGGGCTGTGTTGGTCCTCTGCAGGGTGTCCACTGCTTCCCCACAGAGAGCAAGGGTCCAATCTTCAACATGCTGGCAGAGGACAGGCTACTGGAGCTGTGGATGTTTTCTAAGCTCTGGTTCAATCATTTCATGCTTGACATGAGGAAGCTAAAAAAAGCACCATCTCTATGCTGATGACACACAAATCATTCTACTCCTCACCTCACTCTTTCAGTCTCCTCTCGCATTGCTAACCTACTAAGTGACATATCGGCATGGATGTCACTCCACTTCCTCAAACTAAGTCTTTCCAAAACTGAGCTCTTAGTATTCCCTCCAGTCCGTGCCCCCTCCCCATGTTCCCTCCATCAAGATCAATAACACAATAGTCCCTCCCCTCATGCCAGGGTACTCGGTGTAATCCTAGACTCCCATCTGTCCTTCTAGCCCCAAATCCAATCGCTGTCCAAATCTTGTAGACACCTCCGCAACATCTCCAAGATACGCCCGTTCCTAACCTCGGAAACCACTAAGCAACTTATCCACTCCCTTATTATATCACTCCTTGACTATTGTCACTCCCTCCTCATTGGCCGACCTCATCGCAGGCTATCCCCTCCTCTTCAGTCTATCATGAATGCTGCTGCCAGACTCATCCACCTTACTAACTGTTCTGTATCTGCCATTCCTCTCTGTCAATCCCTTCACTGGTTTCCCATTGCTCGACAAATAAAATTCAGAACAAATTTAGCCATTTATAACTCTGCCCCAAGTTACATCACCAATCTTGTCTCCAAATATCACCCAAACTGTCCTCTCCCCTCCTCGCACGACCTCCTACTCTCTAGCTCTCTACCCCAATTTATCAGACTATCACCTACTCTGCCCACTTTTAGGCGATCTCTGAAAACCTATCTCTTCAGGGAAGCCTTTCCGGCCTTCAGCTAATAACAGAATCTTCCATTCCTTCTGCCAGTCCATCCCCCACAGTTATTACCTTTTGTACCACCAGCCCCTTCCTCTTAGATTGTAAGCTCCCAGGATCAGGCCCTCCTAACCCTCTTGTGTTGAACTGTATTGTTGCTGTATTGTCTCCCGTTATATTGTAAAGCTCTGAGTAAACTGTTGGCATTATATAAAACAGTATAATAATAATAATAATCCCTATAGACTTTAAAGCAGTAGTAAAGTTTGTTTTGTAAATTTTACTTACTGGTAAGCTTATAATAAAGCGTACCTGTAGGTAAAATGATCTTAAACGTGCACCATTTAGGAGATATTCTATTGAGTAGCAGTCAGTGATCTCGCCGGCGCATG